ARMWSGATTCCAAACAAACSACTATTACGCGGACATRTATATTATAGCAATCTYCGGTCCTAATAGAAAAACCTCCCTTTAMAGTGAACACTCRCTATTGCGRACACTTCATTTAGGTCCCGAAAGTGATCGTTATAACTAGAGTTAACTGTAACATCATTTCCAGGCTCCATCGACCCTTATGTTACGAATTAGCGCAAACTCTACCCGAAGAGCACGCTGGGACGCACGACTGGGATTTCAAAGATACTCGCACCCATTCCCTTTACCACTGTCATCACTTTTTCCTAATGGTGGATTGGTTGGCTGTGTAGATATTGTTGTTGGTAAACGTTACCCAATTGAGGTGAGTGATTTTTTCAAGCTTGGTCCACTTCCTTCTATTGATTATGCACGAAGACAGCGAAGAATAGTGAAATGTCCTAACTGAATTGTTAGCATCCCAGATCCTTTAAAATCGATTCTTTTGTTTAAAAATAATTATTGCTTGTGAAATTTTCTCTCTAATTGGTTCAAAATCAAAGCCGGAGATTTTTCATCTTGTGCGAAAATCGCGCAAAGGTTTTCAAATACACTTCTGTCTTAAAGTTACTCAAGTTGGTCTTTTTAACTATTTTTCTTTGCTATCAGTACATGGAAAAGATGTTTTCTTTCTAACTGTTTTTCTTTGCTATCAGTACATGGAGAAGGTGACAGGCGGAGCAACAGTCTTCAGAAATGCACGAGCAGAGGAACGTGAAGCTAAAAAGTTTGCGAATAACCTAGAACGTTCCCGAGAGGCTGTGCTTGCTAGAGTACAGAAGGACTTCGAATCATGTGAAAACAAACCTCAGTGTGCAAAGAAATCGCGACGATCTTATTCTCCTAGGGATATATCAAAACTACGCGGCGGGAAGGAATTGTACGATGTATGTATGTCGGCGTCTGATCCTAGCTTTATCGAGGTATATATCTGTTTTGTGCCGTCCTATGATCATGACGATTTTAATGGTATTTTTAACTTATGACGTCACGCGGTATCGGAGTGATGCATCATGGGATTGATGAAAGTACAAATGTTGTGCGTCATAAGGTGTATGACGTATTGTAATGACTAGTCTTTGGGTACACCCTCCAAGACTCCAAGTTTTTAGCAACAGATGTAACGGGACGTAACTTGRAAGTCCTTTTATGTCCAAAGTCGCATCGAATTCAATGGATTCTTGATTTGCAACCATTTCTTGGTAATTAAATTTGATGAGTGGAAAACTCTTTTTCCAGGAATGCCTCGATAATAAACAAAGAAGAACTCTCGAGGATTACAGACGGTCAATRCAGGATACCAGACGAGCAAAACTTGAAAAGATGTTCCAGGAAGCGTGGGAAGAAGATGAAAATGTGAGTTCAAAGTTTCTGTCGGCACARCGACTGAATCAAAGTCACAATAGTGCCCTACCCCCACCCCCACCCCCAAATCAAAATGGACGTAACTGAATCTACAAACAGCTGTGTATGCYATGTTTATCGTAGAATATCTCTAAAAGAACAGTTGTCCCAATGCTGAAAGTACGGATTGTTAACTACTTAAATTGCGACATGGATAAAACAGGTGGGTGCGGAAATGTCTTTTCACTATTCATTCGTTTGTTTATTCTTATTCACTTCCATCCATTCAACTATCATCCATTCGTCYATGARCTGATTCATCCATCCATCCATYCAKTCAKTCATYYATYTATTYATTCATTMMWTMCATCYMTCYMTYCATCCATTCATSCATCCATTYATTTMATTCATTCASTTATTTAATATCACAGAAGCCATATTAAGCGTT